GGGAACTTTTCTTTGCTTAGCTTTTAGAAACCGCATCTTTCCTACATTAGGGATTATTTTTTTAAAAAGAAAAAAGTGGTTCATCGATAGCTGTAGCTACTGAGCAGGAAATTTTGCATAACTGGTAGCAGCTCTTAGATTTTCAATATTCCCGGCAGGGGAACTACTGGTGTCCTGCGTGAAACACCTGCTGCGACGTTTCCCCGGCTTTTGATCCCATTCTGCTCCTGAGAACTCTCTGAACCATATAGCACACCGGATTCTTTATAACACTCAGCATGAATTCAGCTTCAAGATCCTGGCTCCTAGCAGAAAGAAGGCACTAAATAAATGCTGAATAAAATGAAGGTGAAGGCCAAGTGCTGTGATCTTGGGGACCATGGTGACAACAGTCCACCCTCAGCGACTGGTTCCTCTTGGGAAATGGAATCAAGACAGATGAGCACTCCCTACTACCAACACACTAGTGAAGCAGCTCCCGTGTATTCCACGCAGCAAACAGTCCCGTCACTCACTGGAGGCACGAGAGAATGTAACCAGTTCCATTCCCTGCTGAAAGGCTCACATGCAGATGACGCTCCTGGACTTACACAGTGCAGCAGAAGAGTCTCTGTGTGAGCAGAAGGCTGACCTGATGAGCGGCAGCAAGTAAATGAGTGCGTCCTGCAGAGTGCCACAGAGCTGCTCACCTTATTATGTACCAAATCCCAGGGTCACTCAAGAAAGAGAACTCCACCAACGAAGATGCTAAAATTACGTCAGTAAAAGCTTATCTGGAATCTAACACACAACCAGCTAGTTTAAAATGGCAGAGAAAGAAAACCAAAAACACCGTGTCGTACAAATGAGAGCTCCATTTTAAAATATGTCCAAGGATGTCTTTTACAAAGGAAGGAAGGTGTACTCTAGTATTTTCTGGGGAATTTTGATTACTGTTGCATGGCCAAAGAAGATGGACCATTCTGAGAGTTTCCATTAGCCAGAAACTTCAACTCTGGAAGCTCAGTCAGTGGTTACACACACAAACAGCCATTTCCCAAATATCAGCCTGCTGTGACCAAACCCACACTGACAAAAAAGCATGTGAATCCTTAGTTCAATTATAATGCTTCGAAGTAAGAGATCGATTGGGGGATGGCGACACACAAAACAGAAAAAGGAATTCTCATAAAGATCTCAGAGTACCCAGCTTTCCATAATTCATCCTAAAATGAGGCAAGAAAAGTCAAAGAAAACCTACTAGAGAATCTTACATTCCAGCTCGGGCAGCTGGTGACAAGTGTATACACCTCACCTGGAAATGCGGGTTCTTAAAGCATGTGACTTAAGAACGTTCTGCAAAACTCAGAAAAAGCAATTTGCCCAACAAAGTTAATCAGAAATTAATTCAATTTAACTACTTTTAACGTAAGCATGTTGTTAAGCACTTTTCATTTGATGACACTTAAAAACCAATTAATCTAATGCAGAAAGCCTGTACAGAAAAACAAGTATGCTAAATAATGTCTAAAAATGGATAGAAAAATCATAAAACCAATTTAGAACCAAAAACTGTTGGGAGTTTGAGGCCCAGGAAATTGTTATTAGTCAAGGTGCTAGTAGGTAAACGTCTTTATCAAAAAAACTCCTCGCAGCAAGATATCCAGCCCTATCAAGTGCCCTAAAAGACCCACATAAATGATCTGTCTACAAAATGTATTATCTGTGGGTCCCTGTTAAGGCCTTGCGCACATAAAGGGACAGGATTCAGGAGGACACCGAGGCCAGCCAGCACCAGCTGATGAGTTCACGTCTTCCAACTCTGCTCAGTCACGACATGCTGACAGCCTGAAGTCCCCGCGGGGGGAGTGTGGGATACCTACGCCACAGAAATCAGCAAATTGTTACCTACAGATCAGAGCGGTTTTTGTGGGTGGAGGAGCCGACCATTAAACTATGATATCTCTGTACACCTAAGTAATCATTCACATATACGAAAGTTTCATTTATGACTATATTTCAGAAGGTACAGAGAGACTGCTTTCTTATTTCCCACACAGAAAAACATTCTAGGGGCGCCTGGGTGGCTCAGTCGGTTAGGCGTCTGCCTTCGGCTCGGGTCATGACCTGAGGGTCCTGGGATCGAGCCCCGCGTCAGGCTCTCTGCTCAGCAGGACATCAATCTGCTTCTCCCTCTGCCTGCCACTCCCCCTGCTTGTGCTCACACTCGCCCTCTCTTTCTTTCTGGCAAATAAATAGATAAAATCTTAAAAAAAAAAAGAAAAAAAGAAAAACATTCTATTTTAGCCAGTCAACATTTGCTGTTTTTAGTCGTCCACTATCCCCATCCTCATTTGTCAAAGCCCCCAGTTTTAGCTGGGTCCCCCTCTCTCCCATGGAGATGGGACACATGAGTCACAGGAGCAGAGTAGGATCCAGCTGTTGGAGGGGAGAAGGCAGCTCAAGCTAACTCTGTCCTCTAAACCCTCCCAGGGACTGGTTTAGAGGTGAGCCTGTGACCCAAGCTGGTACATACGAGTAAAGTCCAGGATGGGAAACTCACAGGGAACCAGGCTCTTGCCCACAAAAAGCCAACCTCGAACGATGCACCTCCAGGAGCATCCGGCACCCATCCTGCAGCAACCAAGGAAGACACTCAGAAAACAGACACACAGAAGAACCTTGGGGACACTGGGTGAGCCACTGGATCAAGTCCACTATCTCTGGATTTTTGGTTGTGTGAGCCCATATATTCCCATTATAGACAGCTTAAGTGCATTTTCTGACATTTCCAATGCCTCAGCAAGAGGAAAATACACGTAAAAAATGAAACTGACTTAAGCCAATTATCTACAATCTTACAGAACAATGGTCTTTATGGTGGTGATTCTGGATTGTTGCAAATATGGCCTGGGACCTACTAAGAAACATGGTTTCAGAATTAAAGGACTAAATACCAAATGTGACTTGTCTGACAACCACAGACATAAAAACTGTATTCCTGATACTTTCCTCATTTCTGACCGAAGTCACTTAATAGAGCCCAGCAAGCAGAAGACAGAAGTTGGTTAAAAACAACAGCCAAACCAACCAACCAAATAATCTAATATTCAAGGGTTTACATTATGAAGGGAAACCTGAGCTTTAGTCGGCTCTGTGGAGACGTCAGTGTAACACCATCTCAAGCTCCATCCCGTTCGTGGGATCTGCTTGTTCACAGGCCACTCCATCTAAGATGTTTTGGGGGCTTCTCAACCTGCTACATTGCAAACCCCTCCTACGAGATCACTCGTGACCTGCATACGTTTTCACAGAGAAACAAAGGGCGAGATGAGGACTGATCCCAGGACGCACAAAAGCCTGCTGCGTCTGCATGGCCCCTCATCACAGGCCGTGCCCGGGGTCCCGTGTTCCGCCAATGCCGACGTCGGGGGGCGTCCAGCACCAGAGCCGCGGTCAGTGCAGGGGGCAGCAGCGATGGGGAAGGACCCCAATGCGCCCAACACAAGAAACAAGCAAGGGCTTCCGCAGGGAGAGCGGAGGAAGACCCAACAGCTTGAAGCCCGCGAGTGACTGACGGCATGTGTCAACGACGCCCCTCCCCTGAGAGCCAGGCCGGGTATCAGGGGTGAATTCCCCAGAGCCACCCCCTAGTCTCACACAACTGTGCCGAGCTCTATGGTGAAAGAATCACAGGCCGCTTCCCTTCCTGGCTCGGCCTGAGATCAAGCGAACTCCTCCCCGGTGGACAAGGACTCCGAATGAAGAGCAGTCCAAGGACCAGCAGATGCGTCCAGTGAGGGACGGATGGGAAGGCCGCCAGGCAGAGGACTGGGAACACAAACACCTCGGACCCCCACGGCAAATCCTGTCAGTTACTTTATTTCTTTGAACTTAAGGGACGGTCTGTGTTTAATTTTTAACATTTTTTCAGCCAGGGAAATTCTCACTGAATGCCTATTATGTGCCAGCGAAAATCAGAATAGATCCTTGCCTTTGATGTGCTTAGGACTCTAGTGAGAGAGGCCAATGGGCCAAGCACCAGACGACAGGGTAAGAGGTCTGCAGTTGGCGCCACGGGAGCAGAGAAGGAAACCTGAAGGGGCAGCTGGAAGTTGGCCTGCATCCACTGCCCCCTTCACAGAGCCCCGTTTCTGGGGGGGTGGGGGGGGGTGGGCTGGTGTGCGCGTGTGTGAAGGGCACAGGTGGTCTTTACGTGACGTGAGGGCAGGGAAGCTTCTTCGATGAGAATCTAGGGCTGACAGGTTGAAAGCAAAACCATCAAGCAGATGTACACTCCAAAGTCTTCAAACTCAAGAGTTTCACAAACATTCTGAGAGCTAGGACCATAGCTAATAGCTAATAACATAGTTACCAGAGGCCAGACAGATACAGTCCAAGCGTTTCCCAATGGGCATCTGATTTATATTATACTCATTACATTAGTATTATCACAGCTCTGTGACCTGTCTTATTATTATCCCCCATTTTAAAATGAGAAGGCTAAGAGAGGTAGGAACTTGCCAGAAGTGACAAAGCCAGTGGGCAGGGGAGGCAGAAAGCAGAGCCTGTGCTCACGTTCAGGGCTCCACAATACCCTCCCATTTCACTCCTAAAACGTGAAGTCGGCTTCACTTTGATTTACTCAGCAGCCGTGGTCTGGTGTAAGCCATCAGTCACTTCACATTTCAATGTGACTTGTGAAAGAAGTCACACTTGCACAAGGGAATTTCGAGTGCAACAGACACTGGAGTGGTCCTGACAAAACGGCCTTACCTCTCCCTGAGAATTTTTCAGTATAACCTTCACATCTTCACCGGTGCCCCATGAGTTCTGGTTCTTCCAGATGAGGTCGGTGGGAGGACTGGCTGTAACACCAGCATTCGCAGCCCAGATCTAGAAAAAAGAAAGGCCATCAGTTCACCCAGAACCCAGCCCTCCCATATCCCAGGGATGGCAACGTAACGAAGAGACTTGAACCCCTGATTCTAAGTCTCAGAACTGTGTCCCAGCTTCAGACCTGCTGTACGAACTAGCTGTGTGTCCAGGAGAACCTACTGAGGCCTCGGCTTCCCCATCCGATAAATGGGAACGCTGACGCCTAGGGATCTGAGGTGACATTATCTACATTCACCTCCTAGCCCCTCGACATGTCAGCTGAACGTGTGCAAGTGGCCTTATTCTCATTATCCATGAAATGGGACAGAAACGGGATTGCTGTGAAGAACAGGGGATTAGCCGCACAGCGGGGCTGGCTCACTGAGCAAGGATTAGCTCTCCCTGTCAGCACCCTGTTAGGGCTTTTATGGGCCGTTCTTCCAAAGGTATCTTCCAGCGGCCAACAGCAGTCAGTGAGGCGATCCTACTAATTCCTCTCAAAAAATCTGCAGCAGACAGCCCATCTAGAACATTCTTATAGAAACTGGTACGTCTCCAACAAGGGGCAGTATCACAATACCCCAGGAGTGTCTGAGACTGAACTCCAGAACGCATGCAGGGAATGAACAAATAACCCATTAATTAATGATAAACAGGACTACTACTGAAATAGGCCAACAAATAATTACTTTTCCCTTCTCATAAGCAAGGAAATTCTGCTCTATTTTTAATGCATTTTATTGGCAAAAGAGTACTGGCAGAGTGGAGAAAATGTGAGTCAGAAAACCTAGGTGTGGGGCGCCTGGGTGGCTCAGTTGGTTGAGCGACTGCCTTCGGCTCGGGTCATGATCCTGGAGTCCCGGGATCGAGTCCCGCATCGGGCTCCCTGCTTGGCAGGGAGCCTGCTTCTCCCTCTGACCCTCCCCCCTCTCATGTGCTCTCTCTCTCTCAAATAAATAAATAAAATCTTTAAAAAAAAAAAGGAAAACCTAGGCGTGAACCCTGGACAAATCACTCCAGCTCTACCAACCTCGGTGTCCTCATGTATAGGATATTACCACCAGTCTTGAGGTTTCTAAAAGACCATATGAAAATAGAAAAGTTTTACACCCCATAAATTACTTCACAATATAAATGGCCACATGATGGCAACAGGAAGACTAGAAATAGCATTACAACTAGAAAGGGACAGGGAGCGTTTACTGGGATAAAACAAAAAGCAACTGGATCCAGGCTGTTAGGTCATGTGGAATGTTAGTGTTTTCCTAATTTCAAGCAACACTTTTTCACCATGGTTCATATGGAATCATAGAATTGGTTTAGTGTTAATAATAATCATAAAATGTCGGTAACCTTACTGGGTAATTTAATCTAAAACTATTATGTTCCAGAGTTAGCCTATTCAATATGCTAGCCATACGTGGCCTCTGAGCGTCTGAAATACAGCTAACCAAAAGTGAGATGGTACTGTGAGCATAGCTGTAAGTCTGAACACTTAGTCCGAAAAAGAAAAAGGTAAAATATCTGACAAATAAGTTTTTATAATGATCACATGTTGAAAGAATAGTATTTTGGATACATTGCATTAAATAAGATATAGTACTAAAGTTAATTTCATACCTTTCTTTTTACTTCTCTTTAATGCAGCTACAAGAAAATTTTTTTTTTTTTTTTTTAAAGATTTTATTTATTTATTTGACAGAGAGAGACAGTGAGAGAGGGAACACAAGCAGGTGGAGTGGGAGGCGATGCGGGGCTCCATCCCAAGTCCCTGGGATCAAGACCCGAGCCGAAGGCAGACGCCCAACGACTGAGCCACCCAGGCGCCCCTACAAGAAAATTTTAAATATATACATATATTTCTCTTATTTGTGTTCTAGAGTTTTAAACTGATCTTTGCTATTGCCTGGTACAATTTTATAGTAAGATTACTTATCACTACCATGTTCCAAAGAGCTTATCACATTTAATGTTAGCTACTAAAAAAAAAAAAAAAAAGGATTACATTTCACATGGTAATTGAGTTCTCCACTAGACCTATAGTATATATATCTATTTGGTCCCTTAGGAGCTATATCTAGTGGAAAAAGCAGATGATTGGCATAATGGTTTCACATTACTTTAGAGAGAGGGAGAGAGAGCACACTCAAATCTGAATCTTCTGAATTAAAATGTCAGATTCTTTCCACCACATTATGCAGCTTCCATAAGACACATAATAGGACTGAACAATTTTCTCTCACCGTAATAATTACTAAAGAGAAGAAAGAACAGCGTGGTTAGGACATTTGTTCCCATTTTTTACCATTACAAAATTAGCATCTGATATTTTCACAATGTGGTATCAAGCTCTATGACACACTATTTAAAAGAGAAGTCCTAACCAGTTTGAGCCTTTGATCTTAAACAAAATAAGATGTGTATCAATCATAAACTTTAAAATATGTGTTTAATATTTTTTAAAAGGAACTGATAAAAAGAGACCGTCACTTCTATATCCTTCAGGAATAAAAATGTGGACTTCCTTCACATCTATATCGAAGTCAACACATTGTTTGCAAAATCTATTTACTAAGTAAAAGTAAAGGAATTTTGTATTTGCTCAATGAAGCTACTTCTCTAAAAAGTATGCTATGATATTTAGTGACTATTAAAGACATGGCATTTCAGAACACAGCAACAGTGAACCATTTAGAACTCAAAATAGAGTCAGAGTGCCACCAAGCCCATCTCTTTTTAAATCTAGAAACTTAAACACTATGTAAAAACCATGTTACCCTCTCTATGTTTTAAAAAGTGATTCATTACATCAGGACCTATCACTTAATAATTTTCATTCAAAACATTAAGTCCCTAAATCCAACACCAGAGATGGTGACTAAGGGTGAGGTGGGACCTGGACAACAAAACACTACCCAGATGATGCTGAGGGTCACCCAAGGCTGACGACTGTTGTGTTAAGGCATACCTTAGCATTAATAGATTATCCTCCTAATAGCTCTTTATGCCAAGCAGTATCTCCTGAATCAGACTGGGCTACAATTATCAGTCAAGAGACAGCTGTTTTATATCTACTGGAGTAGACAAAATAAAAAGAATTCAAAGGTCAATACTTTCACTTTTAATACTCAATTACCGCTCTCAATAAGACAGAATTTTTAAAATCTTTAATAGCACTTGTAATTCCCTAATCATGTTAAAGATGTTTTAATGCCCATTTCTAAAATGCTTCTCTTTAAGCCAAAAATTTTCTTGAATCACTTTAACTGTTTGTTAAGACAGCGAAGTTAAATTAAATGATGATTAAATTCACTTACTGTAACAGTCTGGCCTGCCTTCAGCACATATCTTGAGGTATATTTGTAGCTGACTGATGTGTCTCCAATTTTTCTGATCATTTCCCAGCCTCCCATTGGCTGATCCTATTCATAAACAGAGTAAAACAAGGTCACATCGAGTATACAGAAAGTGATGGCTAATCAAATGAATTTACACAGGCGGTTAAGCTAAGACAGCTCTGTGGCTGTCTTTCCCAGATTCCTATTTTCCTACCATAAAAAGAAAACATGGTTTTGTCATTCAGCAAAACAGTATCTTCAACAATGCTGCAGTGTTAATATTAAGGTACTTAATTTTGAAAAAGACAAAACTGGAAGAAAAGGATGTAAACCAAACTAAGTGGTCCATATTCACTGCTAGATTGGGTGGGTCTATGATATTTACAATACAATCTAGCAGTCATAATCACAATTATAAATTTGATTACTTTAAGCTTTAAAAACACAGACACAAAAGGGTGCCTGGGTGGCTCAGTTGGTTAAGCGTCTGCCTTCAGCTCAGGTCATGATCCTGGAGTCCCAGCATGGAGTCTCGGGATCGAGCCCCACTTGGGGCTCCCTGCTCAGTGGAGAGCCTGCTTCTCCCCCTGCCCCTCACCCTGCTCGTGCTGTCTCTCTTTCTCGCTCTCTCTCAAATAAATAAATCTTAAAAAAAATACAGGCAAATAAGCTTAAAAACCGATGGAAGAAAATATAACCCTTTTCTTCTGCACCTATCCCACTTCTGCCCACACTTAACTCCCTTACCTCAAAGCATAAGGGGCTGAAAAAGGGTCAGTGATGCAATGACCAGTCCCAAGTGATGGCTATCACTTCTGGTCCCCAAGCTGCCAAGGGCTGCCGGGCACCTGAGGAAAGGTGCAGGGTACTTAAAGCAACTAGCTGCACTAATCTATACCCACCTCTAACTCAAAGACAAGAATAAACCAGGCTGAAAGCCAGCTTTAGAATAACTCAGCACAGGGCTGTCATGCCTTTTGAAAACAGCCAAACTACAACAATGGAGCAGCAGAGGCTACTGTTGTTCTTCGGCTTTTAAAGTCGTGACTAAGAGGGCTTGGAGCCTATTCTCTTTAGTACGTGAACTGCTAGCTTTCCTTTGCCCATCCAAATTATTTACTCATCCATACACAAGACAGAGGAGAAAAGGAATGCTTTTCACAAACAACATGTGACAAATCCTGAACACATGCTTCAGAAAGTGACATCCATCCCACTGCACCTCCACGAACCCCCAGACCTGCCTTCCAGCATCATCTCACACCCCCCTCCACGACCTCCAGCTCCATGATGCCTAGCCAGGGAGGACCTTCACTACTGAACTCTCAAAGACCCCAGCTCGAAACCTCAGAATGCCCTATGAATATTTTGTTTACTTTTAAACAAATAATTTCAAGATAGGGCTCCATACTATTCTTCATACAAATTAAATCATTAGTATTCACTCATTTATTCAGAGAGAAAAATACTCCCTGCACATATCTGAGTCTGGGCTCGCATTCCCTTCCTTTGCCGAGGCTAACAGCTGTGGAAGAGTACCTCCCATTTACAGTCACAACTCCAACTCTCCCACAAGTCTGGCTAGGGCGGGCACTAATAGTAACTCATCCTTAGGAAGCCACTGTGCAAGAATGACCAAGTGTGGAAGAAAGCTCTGGCTCTGTAAAGAAACGTTAAGGAAGAAAACTTTAAACCACCAAGCGTACCATCTCCTCTGCCTCCTATTTTAAGGTATACTTTACTTCACGAATATAATTTATTTCATTCTTGTGAAGACTACGAATCCAAATAAAGTCTGAGGCATTAAGGCAACTGCGAAATCATCTACCAGTCAGCAAAGCCTTCCTGGAGAAAAGGGGGGTCTGTTTCTCACCTGTTCGGAAGTGTTCTTCAGGCGGATAAATTTCCCATCAACATCTATCTCTTCGATGCAGACGTTCCCGGTGGCTGAGGCCGAGTGGGAAATGCTGACGCTACTGCTCGCCTCTGACTCTTCCACATCGACTCTCTTCCGTTTCCCTCTAGTTGTGCGCACGCTCCGACTCGAGGATGCTCGGGATACTGTCACACGAGAAGAAGGGCTTGGAGAGAGTTTCAATCTACATGGGAAAAACAAACATTCCATTTATAAGACACTTATGCCCTTCGTACTTCAGAAAAAAGGATATTAATATCCTGCACATGCGTTTCTTTTCCTGCACGTGCATTTCTAAAGCAAAACATTACTGAAGAATCTAGAACTAATGATGTAATGTATGGGGATTAACATAAGAATAAAAAAAAAAAAAAA